TTTTTATATTTTTTAAGAATAAATCTAAAATATTTTTTATCAAAATATTTATAATATTTTAATTTTATTGATCTTTAAATTCAATATGTTATTTTTCCTTTTCTAATTTATTTGAATTTATTAAATTAAATAAACTAAGGAAAATATGAAATTCTTCTAATTTAGTGATATTGTTTTCAAATTCTACTTTTTGAGTTATTATAGTATTAGCTATAAATTATTTTATATATAATAATAAGTTTAAGAAAATCATATTAGATATAATTTGTTTTGTAAATAAAATTCAACTGCAGGTAATTTAATATTATTTGTTACTATTTTCTTTTAACATTTTTAACACATATATTATTCTAAGTTTAATAAATAATTAATAGTAAAAAGTAAATTTATCTCTAAGTTTCCATTTTAATTGTTTAATAAAATTTTAATTTAAATAAAAAAAATAGATATAATAGTAAATATTAGATAATTTTACTTTAATAATTATAGCTATTGCTAATTTTCTACCTATAAAAATTATTCATAGATATAAAAAATTAGTTGCATGTATTAAGCAATCAAAAATTTACTAAAAAGCTAAATTAGTTTTATCTTTTATTAAAGTTTGTACTAAAATACAAGTTCAATTATAATTGTTAGTTATTGTAAATAAAAATAATACTATATCATATCAATTTATTTTATAGATATTATTTGTAATTTTCATATCATAAAATCTTATTCAAAGTTAAACTTGTTGTGATGATACTTATAAAATATTTTTAAATAAAAAATTTTTTAATTATACGAATTTTAATCATCCAAGCTGAATCTTTCTTTTACAGATCATATAATTCTTACAGCATATTTTCTGTATCATCTTTTTCTTTTATTTGTTCATATTTTCTATTTATTAAATTCTATTATATAAATTTTTTTTATAATTATAGATATTTACTTAATAATCTATATATAATTTATGCTTTTATAATTAGAATAGCAGTAAGATATTCTAATATATTATCCTTTATTTCTCCTAAAAAATGATAAAATTGAACTTATGAATCATAATATTTAGATTTAATGAATAGTTGTATACATCAATTATGGTAGAAATTTTTATAATTTGGATGAGTTACATTTACATGCCACTAATACTAATTGATCCAAAATTTCTTTGATGATGTTTTTCAGGATCATTATTTTTTCATGGTTGATATTAAGCTACTTTAATACATTTACAGATACATTTACATATAATATTATTGCTATTATATCAACTCTATAAAATTCAAAACCTTTTTATTTACAATATTATATTAAATGTTTTTCTACTCCTTCAAAGATTTCAAATGTTTGTCTCTTTAAAAGTATTAAGTTAGTATCATTTTCTTCATTTGTAAAATCATAATTATATTAGATGTCTTGTCATTTGTATTCAAATTTTCATAAAAAATTGTTTAAAGGTTCTTCATAAAGATGATTGTAAAATTTAACAGTAAATGAAGGTAAAAATTCTGAAATATCCATTATTAGATAAAGAAATTTTATTGTAAATGGTTATAAGAAAGAAAAAAAGAGGTTGTAGGAAAAAAAAATTATATAATATAAGAGTCTATTATAATTCACATTTTATCAGTAATATTAATTCAATTCTGGCGAATAAAAATCAAATTTTAAAAATTTATAACTTTTATTAGTAGTAAAGTGATTTAATCATATGAATTTATTATTAAAAATTACAAATTTTTAGCTTATAAGTAACGTTAGATTTTTTATTATATAATTAAAAAATAAAAATTACTATGATATAATATATATTTATTAATTTATTTACAATTTAATTTTCATAAAAGTAAATCAGAAGGGTATTTATAGTAAATAAGCAGGCAAATTTGCCTGCGAACCCTACAATCTAAGGGATAATTTAATACTTTATTTATGATTAATAGCATACGTGCTACATATGAATAATTACAAAAGTTAGTTGAAATTGGCCCATGTTAATATTAACCGGTAAAAATATTCTAATAATCTATAAATCATTGTCACGATTAATCATTCATTTCTAGATACAACGCGATTCTTAATCGACAATGAAAAAATAACGCGTCATTTCTATGTATAATTTTAATATGCTACCGTTCAGCCCTCAATGAACTCCTTTCGTAGTACATATCTTGTTTACGAAACTTATCTATTATTTTTGAATGAATAACGAAATAATTATACGAATTTTCGCATAACCATTTAATGCAAGATCAAAGAATAAAAAGGATCAAAATACTTACATGATGGAATTGTGACTCAGTGGAAGGAACTGAGTAAATCGCAAATTCATTATCAGACAGGCTTTCCATATACCATTTACTAGTAAGCAGTGAAAATTATTACCTTTCGCCTGTATTTCTTTGTCCAAATCAGAAATGATCTGGTGATACCTCTAAAAATATTATTATGCAAATATTAACTTTATGATTTAACTAGTATTTTATAAACATGAATGGGAATTAAGTGATTTCGCTTACTAATTCACACTCCCGAATCACCTCATTCCAATAATTTTCTAAATTTTCTACATATCGTAAACGTTCCGATTTGATCAGCTTTAGAAAAAGTCGTTATTAGTACGATTTTTTACTTTCGTAGTAAAGGAAGGTATATGGCTAATTCCCATCTAATTAGCAGACTTTAAAAACGACAAAGTAAGGATGCCAACCTGAGCAGTATCAACCTGAGTAGTGTCAACCCGAGTAGTAGTAAATACCTGACTAACCTAAGTAGTATTATAAAATAAGTTTACAATAATAATTAATTAAAGATAAGATTAAAAGTTGAATAGAGAACTTGGAGTGATTACCAAATTGTCATATTCAGTAATTCTCCTGAGCCAAGGCGCATGTTGCGGTTCAACTAGAAGTTACCCATTCTTTGCAAAATAAAAATACGCACCTTGTTTTTTAAACTTATATCTTGATTTTTTAGAACCTCTTGCGCTTCCCTTATAAAAATTTTCGCCCAAGAATTATCGATGTCTTTTAGTTCAAAACCGTTAAAGTTAGCGACGAAATAACTATGGTTTGTTGACACCGAAGTAAACCCATAAAAGACATTTTCGTTCTTTAAATATGAAATGAACTCACTTATGGGTAATATATATGATTGAACGGTAGACATTTTAATAATTGTATTATGACAGAAAAGAAAGCGTGTGAAATACATAATTAACCCAAAAGATAATTAAGCTAAAGATAATGTGTAGTTGACCAATCAAAACCAAAGAAAATTTTGTTAATTTTATACCATTAGTAAATTAAATTTATATTATACAAAGATTTATCTTTTTCATTTATTTATAATAATGAAGAGTCATTTTTGTAATTTCATTAATTTCAATATGATAAATCGTAAAAAAATACGTAAAAAATCATAATTCTCTTAAAAAATTTTCTGCCAAAAAACTGATTGATGCAAAACTTTTATATATAATATATATAATAATTTTATAACATATTTTATAATTTCAATAAGCTAAAATCGAAATATCCAAAAAAAGATACAAAATCTACGTGTAAATAATAATGAAGATGAGTCTTAAATAATGATTAACATTGTAATGATCTTGGCAAAACAGATAATTAAATTGGAATAATTTATTTTTATTCTAAGGCCATATCTCTCTTAATCATAGCAATAGCGCGACCTGGATTTAAACCTTTTGGACAAGTTCTTGTACAATTCATAATAGTATGACAGCGATAAACCGAAAAAGGATTTTGTAGAGCTTCTCTACGTTCATGGCCATAATCATCTCGAGAATCCACCATCCATCTATAAGCTTGTAATAATACAGCCGGTCCAAGATATTCATCTGCATTCCACCAATAACTCGGACAAGATGTAGAACAACAAGCACAAAGAATACATTCATAAAGACCATCTAATTTTTTACGATCAGCAATGGTTTGAAGATTTTCGCGATCTCCCTCTTTTGGAGGACTTTTTTTCTTAAGATACGGTTCAATGGATTTGTATTGTTTATAAAAATGAGTGAGATCTGGTACAAGATCCTTGACGACATACACTAAAAAAAAAGAAAACCAATTAATTTGAAAAAATTTTTATCAAATAAATTTAAAAGAAAACTTACTATGAGGCAATGGATAAATTTTAGTGTCTGAGCCGCTAACGTCAATTCTGCAAAGACATGCTAAGGTGTTAACACCATTAATATTCATGGCGCAAGATCCGCAAATACCTTCACGACAAGAACGACGGAAAGTCAAAGTGGCATCTTGTTCATTTTTGATCTTGATTAAAGCATCAAGAATCATAGGTCCACATGCATTAAGATCAACTTTATATTGCTGCAATTTAGGTTTCTCGGTGGGTTTATCTGGGTTCTATTTAAAAAACCATACAATCAATCTTTCAATTGATTAATTATATTATAAATAGTTTTAGTTAAAAGTAACTGACCCAACGATAAATCGAGAAACTTTTAAATTTGGATTCCTTTATTTGGATTGGTTCCCCAGTTAACGAAGGTGTATTCTAGTAATATTGAGTTTGAGATTAATTAAAAAATGAATTGAAATAATTAATGAATAAAGAATAAGGTACCTGTAACTCAGCTTGGTGAGAGAAGGATGTTTTCAGGGAACGGGCAATGCACAAGGAAGCCTGAAATTTAAATTTAGGAATCAGAAAGAATTTTATAATACAAGATCAATTAATAGGTAAAAACATACAGCATTAATATTAATTTTAACCGATCTTGTTTTAGTAAGAGAGAAAACTCTTGAAAGTGTAAGCCAGCTCATCCTGTAGAATAAAAAAAAAAAAAAAGGGAAAAAAGAAAAAAATCTAGAAAAGGTTTCTTCATCTCAATCAACAGAATAATCGAGACATCTTTTATCGCACTACAGGCATTGCCCACATTTTTTCCGCAAAACATGAAATTAGTCAGCAATTCTACCGATCTATTTTTATTGTAAAATCATCAAACATAAAATATAATCTCGTGTATAATGAATGTTACAAAATATAAATATGTCTTTATATATATTTCGACAAAAATATTTCATTAGTGAAAACTTACAATATACCAACATTAATGCTACAAATCATATTAAATACATGAAATAGAATAATACTGTTTATCCACAATAAAAAAGTTTAAAAAATTCGCAAATAATAACAAATATAACTCTAATTACAACTAAACGAATTAACTTTGAGGGAAAAAGAAAGTTCGCAAGCAGCTTAAAAAACGCGTTCAATCACCATATTTTTCTGCCATTACCGATGTTCCCACGTCTTCATTTGGTTCCATTAAACTAAATTAAATATTGAAATAAACTAAGAATACTAATAATTATCCAACAAAAAGATTTCGAGATGCTGTAAATAGTTACCTGTATTGTTTAAGCAACACACATTCACCTCCATTCTCCAAGTCAATATTATATTGATAGAAATATCCTTCAGAAGTGACCACCATGACTTGAGGAGTGGTACTAAAAAAAAGAATTTTAAGCCATCAAAAAAAAGATTTTTTTTTTTTTTTGTTCAATTTGTTTCTATCATAATAAACGGGACTCACTTGCTTAATGCCACAACACTTTGAACACCTGAACTAGGTAATTTTAGATATGCAAAATCACGTGTTGGTTCCCACATTTCGGTTAGAGCATCCGGAAGATAATTACCCACGCTACCAGCAACAGTACGACCAAGATGAAGAGATTAGCGACGTATAACGCTTTATTTCGCCAAATTTGTAGAGGGGATTTCGCAAATAATTCAATCATTAGATAAGTTTTTTTTTTTTTAAAAAAAAAAAATTTTTTTCTAATTTAATGAAAGTCCTACCCTTTTCCAGTTTTTTTCTTTTCATCAATGAAGGCCTCAAATCCGCCTATTGTTGTTGGGCCAGTAGAATGGCGCGACGCATTTGCAACTCCTCCCGTACTGTTAGCAGTGCCGTTGTTTGCACCCGCGTTTCCTCCTGGACCAACTGCATTTCCACCTAATTTGAAAACATGAACTGTTTCCGTATCACTTGAAACACACAATAATGTGCTGACAAGGTTAAAGGAGATCGAATGGATGCGTGCAGGATAAGATCCCCTTCGAAATTGATACAGCTTGACCGCATTTGGGATAGAGAACACGCGAATAACAGTACCCTAAACAATTTTATAACGAATTAATTTTAATCAAAATTAAAAATACAATTATTTCTTACCTTATCACTAGCTGTTGCCAATAAAGTTCCTTCGGAATTGATGGCTACATAAGCAACTGGACTTTTATGAGCCTGAACGATGTTTACGACTTGTAATGATAAAGCGTCGAAAATCAAAACATCACCAGATGATGAAGTATGTTGTGTGCCATGACTTGAAAAAGGAGATGAGGGAGAAGGTGTAGGAGAAGGGTAGGCTATATAACAATTTTCATTTGAAGGAGAAAGGGCACAAATAGCTATTTGCATAAAAGAATTTTTTTTTTTTTTTTTTTTTTTTTTAGAAAATAATGTTATCATAATGATTTTAAAGCAAAAGCATAAAGGTGTTAAAACCTTGATTACCAGATGGATTGGGGCTAGTATCAATAGTATGCAATAATTTCATATTGCTAATATCATAAACAAAAATAGTTTGTTCCAAAACGACTATCAACCTACGACGGTTTAATTTCACTGCAAGGATTGACGTTTGGAAGGTGAGTTCGCATATTGTTGACTGACGCTTTATCATCATTAAAAGAAAGGAAAATTAATTAAAATATTAATAAACGCAATTAAAAATACGAATCAAATTATTAAATCACAAACCTTTGTATTTGTAATTTGTAACCGTCGTGGTGAAAATGAAGGATGTTCACCTGCTCCTACCAAAGCAACCAGTGATGTACAAAAAAGCATTTCCACAATACCAATACCACCATCAGCTATATAAATGACAACGCGTATAGATATCAGAATTGTGTAAATAAAGCATAAATGATTTATTATTATAATTATCGTTTAAAATAACATATTTTGACTATTTTAATTACTTGTATACTATTATAATAAATTAATAAACAAAAAAGTTCGCGTTTAATCCATTTTCCATTGAACAAATTAACTCGAACAATAAGAGGCTTCTCTAATTATAAATAATAAATTCTTGAATCGACCCAAGCTTACATTTTGAGTAGCATTTTCCAAACGGATCGCAATTATATATCTTATAACCATGTTGAGTTCCAACTGAGATACAGCTTTAATAAATTAAAAATATCAAGCGTTATTAAAAAAATTAAAAGAAAGAATTCAGATCTTCTCTATATATCATCCATTAAGGCAATTTCTAAACTATACAGTGGTAAGTTTAGAAACAGTAAACCACTGCTTATGGAATGGAATAGGACAAAGATAAAATAAATCCTTAAAGAGCAATGTAATGAAAAACGCGTCTCAAATCTCGATACTCGAACTATAATAAAAAATATATTTTCTTTTTTCTATTTATAATTTTTTTCTAAAATTTTTTTACCTGAAATCCTGGTTGAAATTAATGAATAATAACTCATTACTGCCTTTACCACTTAGATTCATTTTATTATTTTCTTTTTTTTGTGATATATATATAAATATTGCAGAAAATACAATAATTTGCAAGCTCTTTATTAAACTGAAAGGAGAACGAAGTAATCAGCGTGAGATAAAAAAAAAATTGACAATTGTACTCTCCTTTTCAACCACCATTCCGCAGCATAAGATCAGCAGATTACCAGAAACTCAGCCAAAAACTTGCATTGCATGTGTTTTCATAAAAAAAAAACTTAATTTGTACCTCTTTTATTAAATTGAATTTTTTTTACATATATTACCATAATAATAATAATAATAATAATAATAATAATAATAAGAAAAAAAAACTTAAATACAAATGATGATAAAAAAAAAAAAAATACTATATTAAATTGATGAAAATGAAAATTTTATATAATATTTATTTGAAATTATTGTGTTTAAAATTGCTAAATTGTTCGCAATCATAAAGCTTATATTAAAAATGGTGAAATAAAGGTCATAGAACTCCTAATTTCTATAATTCATTGTAAAAGAGAAGTTAGAATCAAACGCAAATATACATATTTACAAAATGAGGTACCAGTCTTATATTTCAACTTTAGTAAATAAATACAAAATCATATGTTTCTTAAAACAAAAATGGTAAAACATTGTCATCCCATTCTTCACCAACCCAATCACTGAGCTCCATCATTTTAACTTCTCTTTGACTTTGTTCAATTATATGGCTAACCATAGCATCATATAACCAATCTAAAACAGAGGCCTCTTTGACAGATTCAACCATTGTATTGCTGTCCAACAAGGATGGCTGTTGAACTTCTGTCACGTCGACGCTAAGTTGTTCGTCATCCAAAGAAGGTCGAGGATTAACAGTTTCTGGTTCAAAGGATTGAAGATCAACTTCATTTGCAGGTTCTAATGCAGGGGTTTTAGAATTTGGGAAAAGTGCAGAAATCATCTGATTTATCGGTGTAGCACATACTGCCTCAATAAACAACTTCGTCATTTGCTGCATTGCAGTTGAAATTAACATATAAGCGAGCCAAAATCTTTGACCATCCATGCTTTGACTAAATTCAATCAAATTAATCATAGAAGGATATCTATATTGATAAGTATTTCGGAAATCCAAATATGATGACGCGGATTTTTCTTCGAACAAGTGTTTGTCAAGATTGAATTCAGGAATGAAAGTTGTTTGAACTCTAACACGTGAATCTTGCCATGTCTTTTTGTTTGCAGATGAAGACGAAGGTGACGCGTCTTTATTAACATTAGGAATGACAAGATAACGAGAAGTAGGCGAAGATGGTTGAGGAATAGAAGGCATAGCTCCTTTATTTTGATTAACAATGGATCGTAAAATTGTACCATTATTATTATTTGTATTTTTAGATAATGATAAATTTATATTATTATCATCCTTACTTGTTGATGATGGTGAGGGGATGTGTGGTGGTGAAGGTGGCGATGTAACAATTGATTTGGTATCCTGTTGTTTTCGCAATTTGTCAACTTCTTGTTGCAACTTTTTGTTCTCTTCTTGCAAGTGCACCAAGGCTTGCTTAAGTATATTTATTTCCTCTTGTTGTTGTTCTTTGGTAGTTTCTAAATTTTGAATATATTCTAAGAACAAAAAAAATTATATATAAATATAATATATTTTTAGTAAAAATTTATGATGTAACGCAAGAATAACCAAGTAATAATTTTGAAAGAAACCTTTTCTTCTAACACGGAAGTTTCTAGCAGAAATTTTATTACGAATTTGACGTCGTTCTTTCGATGATAATTTTTTCAAATCTACTTGATTACTACCATCACTTTTCTGAGAATTGTTATTACTATTAACAGAATTAGTCGTAGAATTTAATGTTGGAGTCTCATTAGATTTTGGTGAAGAAGAACCAGTCGATAAGTCGGTCTTATTTGTAGTAGTTTCTTGTTTAATTGTAGGAAGTTTTGCTAACAATTCAGCCAACTGCGCATTAAGCATGGCCAAAGACGGGGCAACCGCAGTAGAAGGGACTACTTGTTGAGAAGTTTCATTGGTCCCTTCAACTATTGACATTGGAGTAAGTTTTAATTCTTCATTGACAGGAACTGGATCAGTTACTAAAGAAAACTCGTCAACAGTTTGCGTAGGTGCTGAATACGTGGTAGGAGTTTCTTCCAAAACTTCTTGGTCCTTAATCAACTCTTCTTCCAAATAATAACGGAATAGATCTGAATTTGACATGCTTCTTAAATCTACATCTTCTTCCATGGCATCGTTTCTTAGGAAGTCCATGTCGATATAGGCCTCAAAAGCGTCATCATTACCATAGAGATTGGGGTCGTTGTTTGGAAGCAAATTTCTAGACATATCCATAATTGTTCCTGGAATATGAATTTTATAAAATAAAAGGATGAAAAATAATTTTTTCTCTCTAATTTTATTGATGATTGATTTGAAAATAAAACAATGTTAACTTTTAAGGAGTGAAATACAGCAAAGCAAGGTTTTTCCGGGGTTTATAAACGACAAAGAAAGTATTTATTTATTCTACTATTCAATTTATTCAAATGTGATCATTTTTTCACTTACTAAAAAATTAACGTATGGCAAATGGCCGTGTAACTAGGAGACCGGCCAATTGCACGTGCTTAAAATTATAAAAGTCCTATATATTTTTTTTTAATATAAATCAGATGATTTACTTAAATAGACGCGTCATTGATAAACGCGTCAGAGTGGTTAGCAATGGATTTTACCGATATATTCAAACAATCCTTGTACCTTTGTCGCTTCTCTCCAAACGCAAAATATTTAGCTACAGCTTCACAATGTTATCTTGTTATACGCGAGGCTACTTCTTTGCAAATTGTGTCAATGATAACTTGGTCTGAAATTGTTCAGAATGTTATGTGGTCTCCTGATTCAGAATTAATATTAATAGCTAGTTATAAAACTGGAAAAGTTACTATATATAAATTAAATGATAAAAAATGGAGTGCGGATATCGAAGAAGGAACATTTGGACTAAAAAACGTAAAATGGGGTTCAGACGGTCGAACAGTATTATGTTTTTCCGACTTTCAGGTATTGTGGCGACATTATTTATGTTTCGAAAACACAAAATCAGTGATTTTCTTAAGATTTAAAACATCATATTTCTATTAAAGTACTTTGATATTTGTTATATTAAATAATATAGCTACGAATAACAATATGGTCATTAATAACTAAAGAAGTGTGCTACATACAATATCCCAAATATTATGATAAAGGTATATTAAAACATTCATTTGTACTTATATGGACAACCAAAATAATTTAAACATATATATATATATATATATTATTTTTACCAAAGGATACGACTTTCGAAAAGATGGTCGTTATTTTGTTTTAGCGGAACGCCGTGATGGTAAAGATTATTTGGGAGTCTATGATTGTGATAATTCATTTAAAATGATGAAAGTAAATAATTTATATACTATTGTCGTTTTATTAGTCATTCTATGTATTTTATTATAATTAATTGCAATAAATTATTTAGCATTTTCAGGTGGATACGTTTGATTTGGAGAATTTGGCATGGTCTCCTGATGGACGATATATAGCGGTCTGGGATAATTGTATTCATTACAAAGTACTAATATATACACCGGACGGACGATGTCTACAATCATATTCAGCATATGAAAATGGATTAGGAGTAAAATTTGTTACATGGTCACCTTCGAGTCAATTTTTGGCTGTTGGAAGTTATGATCAAAAAATTCGATTTCTCAACAATTATACTTGGACGCTAATTATTGAATTTACACATGCTATCCAATTGAAAAATCGAGACATGGTAAGAAATCAAATTTAGTCTCCTTGCTTATAATTAAAATGATCAAATAATTTTATGTGTATATATGATTAAAATACAGAAAATATGGAAAGAAGAATTAGATAGCGTAAAGGAATCAGGAAGGACTGTTGCTCATTGTAAGTTTATGAAATCTCGGTTCTCAATAAAAACATTTAAATATTAAAATATGTTATTCACAATTCGTATAGACGTAATCTTAGAACAGTCCCTTCTAGAATTACAATCACTTAGACCTGATCCAGAAAAACCAAATCCAAAAATTGGTGTTGGTGTATGCAAGTTCAATGCCACCGGAAGTTTAATAGCTTCTCGTAACGGTAATTTTTTTATTATAATTTTTTTTTCTATCAATTATAATTCTTTTTAATCATGCCCAATATTTTTTTTACTATAATAATCAGACAATATGTCTGATTGTCTCTGGATTTGGGATATTTCGCTGATGAACCCTATAGCTTTGATCATACAATTATCGCCAATACGGCATTTTTACTGGAATCCTATGGTTCCAGAACAATTAGTAATCTGTTGTGGTAATAGAAATGTGTATTTTTGGTCTGGTCACAAAACTGGTGTTGAAATAGTCGAAGTACCTGCTGGTATGTAGCTTAAGAATTTATTTATAAAAAAAAATTTTTTTTTATTGATATCTCTTTTTTTATTTAATCTTATAGTTAATTTTAAAGTTAACAATATTAGATGGAATCCAAATGGTAAATCTTTAGTTTTAATGGATAAAGAAATATTTACTATGCTTATCATTAACAAGTAGATCTTATTTTTAAAATCTTTTTA